TGAAACTTAAGTCTTTATATCTTTCTTGTTTTTCGACGAAATCCTATGAAATTTTGAACATAGCCATGCATTAAAATATCTTACAACATGATATATAGCAATTATCATGAAAACACGTGCATGCACGTGCGCTGCAATCTGATTGGCTTAAACTTTTAATAGGTATATCTCCCTTGCTTTTCAACCAAACAGGATGGGATTTGGAACGTAGATAGATATATTGAACTTCTACAAGGAGGTATGGTCATCATGCACGTGCATACACGTGCAACACGTGAAATGACCAATATTATGGATATAGCCTTAACTTTTCTATTTCTGGATTAAATTTTTGCAGTTCATAATGTATGGATATATTAGTATAGACAAGATGACATGGTCAGTATAGCAAGATCTCATTCGCATGAACGTGTGCTTCGCTCTGATTGACTGAAACTAAAGTCTCAATGTCTTTCTTGTTTTTCATCATAATCCTTTGAAATTTTAACATAGTCATACATTATAAAGATCTACAGCATGATAGATAAGAATTATCATGAAAGCACGTACACCCACGTGTGCTGTAATCTGACTGGCTGAAACTTTAAATGCCTATACTTTTCTTGGTTATCAACAAAACGGGATGAAATTTAGAATATAAATAGGTATGACGGATACCCAATTATACTACATGTACTATCAAAATGTAATGCAAGGACGTTATGTAATGCTTTGATATTTGAAATATTGTAGAAATGTAGACAAGACAACGATATTTGGAACACATGCATGCGCGCACGTGCTATACATAAAAGGACCATTAACTAGCTATTAAATGTAGCCATATCTTTGGGTTTTCTTTACGAAACTGAATATACAAGTATGAAAAGCAATTATAAATGTAGACAAGATGGCATAGTCAACATGCTCATGCATGTACTTACATCAGGCGATATGATCAATGTACTTGATATAGCGGTAACATTTATATTTAAGATGTACAGTGCTTTGATCCTAAGTTTACACTGTTTTCACAGTGGTACGTTTTCGAACCCCCGACGTAATGATAATCATCTCCTTGCCACGTGTGCTATGGTACCCTTGCTAGCTGGATGATATGAATTAAAGTTGCTTTTTTAGTATATGTACCCTTTGATCCTTAATCACCCTCTGTAGTATGCTGGCTAGCATGTAACATAACTACATGGTGAACCATGGTACGTGTGATGCCCTTGTTAGCTGCTGTTTTTTATAATAATAGTCAGTTGTGCAAAAGAGAGAGAGAGAGAAATAGAGAGAGAGAGAGCATAACATATTTCATTGATCATCTTTTATTGAGGATATTAAATATTACATGTACACGATTGCAATTTTTTAAAGAATAACAAAATGCATTTGAACAATCATTTAATCCGACAAAATAAATATTAATATTTTTTCTAGCTTTCCCTTTAGTTAACTTTATTTCATTTAAATTAAACATTATATATACACAGATAATAGCCTGAGGATTCGTAAACAAGTTGTAACAACGTATATTAATCCGTTTCCTTAAATTAACTTTTACCTATAAATAAACATTTGCACTTGTTGAATGGCGCTTTCCCTTTTTTTCGCATTTATAAACCTATGCATATAGGCCTATACAGGCAATTCTATAGTGGAGAACTTTCAGTTGACACATGTAATATTGTCAAAGGCTAAATGAAAGAGAACACAAGTGGTATGTTAAGGTGTATATTTTTTTTTTACACTTTTTGTTGTATGAACAAATATTGTGAAAAATTATCGTAAGACCTATTTTTAGATAGTGTATTCAAAATCATAGCATGAATACCCACAGTTTACTATCATTTATATTCTTAAATCTTGAATACTTTCTAATAAAAGCTTATACGATGAAATTTCAAAAGTACTTGTAAGCCCCTGGATTTGCTTATAAACCCCTTTTTCAGGTAAAATTTCCTAGCTGTTTTTCAAAACAACAGTAAATAAAGTATACCTTGCAATCGTCTGTTAGGCATGGTCAACTATTTTTACTTCTGCAAATCGGGACTCTGGTTTGAATTGGTTTATTTTATTTTAATAGGCTATGTTAAAATCCGATTCCCGATATTCTAAATATAACCATTTAAGAAATCTAAGAATAATAATTATCCACTTGTGATATGTAAATGCTGTCATAAAAAAAAATTCAAGCTTTAATACATTATGATTAAAAAAAAATTATAAATTGCGTTTTTATATCATCTATTTTCATACAACCTTTCTTTTAATAGAAATAAACAGTCATTGATCAAATACATAAACTGTTATAAACGTCTATCTATTTACTACCATTTACATAAAGACCGCGTGGCTCAGTCGGTAACGCGCAGGACTTTAAGTTGGAGTGTAAGACAGCTCAGGTTCGAGTCCCTGTGTGGCCGGTAGATTTTTCGACAAAATGGTCTTGACAAACAGACAAGGAGCACAGTCAGTAAGGCGCTGAATTTTAAGACAGAACGGGGTTCGAGACATGCTACGGGAGGACATGATCAGGACACAGGTGAAACAAAAGGCAGCAAGGAGCCTTAAAGCTATCGTGCAAAGTCATAAACCTATTATACCAGTGGTGTCCGCCATATTTCTCTACTTCAAGTACAATTCCAAATATATGTGATCAATCGCGGAATTGCACACGCTTCCAGAAGGCCTAGTAGGTACACTAAACCCCCAGCAAACTTGTACTGTCTTCCGCTAAATTTTAGAAAATAAATACTATATGATGGGAAAAAATAATTGAAAAAAAAATATTTTTCACAAAATTGTAAAGAAAGAGAAAAAAGCTAAAATTATATGAGAGAGCTAAAACATGAGAGAGAGATGCCGACAGTACAAGCTTGATCAAGTTGAATGGAACATACGATATGTAAAACAAAATTTATAAAAGTTTAGCAATATTTATCCAAAGATTTGCCTTTCGCATACTCCATTAGTGCACACACCCTTTCTCATCTGTCAAACCGGACCGTCCAGTTTTTTATATAGAATCTACTCACACTTCAGTGTTTTCAGGGGCCTGTTATTATTTTATCTAGTACAATCATTATAATCCAACAAAATAAATATGACATACCCAAATAATATTTAGACGCAAATACAAATTTAACAAATTGTTGTTGTTTTTTTTTATTTTAAAGTACAAATTATAGTTAACATTATTTCATTTAAATTAGACATCATATATACCCAGTAGATAATACATACAGGATTCGGAAACAAGTTGTATTAACTTATATTAATCCGTTTCCTTAAATTAACTTTCAACTATAAATAAACATTTGCCCTTGTTGAATTTATTTATAAACATAATGCATATAGGCCTATACAGACATTTCTATAGAGAAAACTTTCAGTTGACACATTTAATATTGTCACAGGCTAAATAAAAAAGAACACAAGTGGGATGTTAATCGGGACTCTGGTTTTATATTATTTTGATAGCTATTCTAAAACCCAATGCACGATATTCTAAAAATAACCATTTAAGAAATCTAAGAAATATCCACTTGTGAAATGTAAATACTGTAAAAAAAAAAAGGAGTTCACGTCTTATATTATTAATTGCAAATCTTATAAATAATCTATTATCACACAATATTACTTTAAAATAGAAATAAACAAAATCTTTGATCATTTATATAAACTGTTATAAACGCCTATTTTTTAACCGCAATGAAAGAAGGACAGCGTGGCGCAGTCAGTAGCGCGTTGGACTTTAAACTCTTGTCTGACATAGACTGGGTTCGAGTCCCGCTGTGGGCTAGTAATTTTTCGACAAAACATTCGCCAGTTGCTTTTCCCATTAAGAATGTAATATATCACATACTCTAAACTACCCAGGAAACAGGTGTTCAAAAGTTTGACATCAATTTGAACTGGGGAAGGGTAAAAGCGTGGCGCAGTCGGTAACGCGCTGGATTCTTAACTCTAGACTGTGACAGACTGGGTTTGAGACCTGCCTTGGGCGGGTAAAATTTACGCCCACATATGTGCCAGTTACTTATATGAAAAACTCCAACCTCCAAACTGACCAGGATAGGAGGCAAAGGTTCAAGGGACATTAATGCTCTTAACTTAACTTTGACACTAATCTCAACCGGGCAAGGGGTTGCATTTCCCCTCTTACTAGGCTGTAAAATCGTTACGTCGGTATGTCCCAGACGCCATTTCCTATAGTATGGAGCAGGTGATTCGAGTAACGAACTCCTGCTAAGGCAATTATGGTCGACAAGTCGACTTACGGCATTTAGAAGAACTGGATCACGAAGACGTATGGTCTATCATTTGACATGCTATCCTCTGTTGGAAAGAGGAAATTGGTAAATAGAACGGGCAATTAACGCTTGTGTTCAAGTCACACAGGTAAGACATTCAGTGCACGCTCAACCCCCCTCGAGCTCCTGATTGTTTTCATCCAGAGAAAGTACCAAGGAGCTTTCTCTGCCGCATGCAGTACATTGTGTTTGCGAGGGTCCGCCTGGGGAGAGTTTGACTGTTGGTAAGTTAAGCTCTCAAGCTGGACGGGCCTGTGCTTGGTTAAGAGCACACATTGGTCACGGATACCAGAGGGGCGGATATATAGGCAAAAATTGCATTGTCATTGCAAGCTTTATCAAGAGAAAAATACATGCAACATGAGCTCGACCGCGACCCGGGCTTTATCTGTGGTCGCAATCAAAAAGTACATGCAAAAAAGCAAAAATACTATAAAGGCAAAATAGCTCGACCGCGGCCCGGGCTTTAAAGATGTGGTCGCAAATTACCCCGAAAGATGTACAAACAAAAGCTCGACCGCGATCCGGGCTTTAAAAATGTGATCGCTAATAACATATGCATAAAAAGAGCCCAAACGCGGCCTGGGCTTCAAAGATGTGGTCGCAAATTTTAAGATTAATTACATGTACATAAATGGTCCTTTAAAGGACCAATATTAACTAAAAATTGGTACATGGCACCATCAAGCCATGTGGTAGGCCTTTATCAACCATTAAATCTAAAAGATGATAAACGTTTCTCTCAAACAAATTTCTGCACAGTATATATCAGAAATCAATGGGAAGGAAATACAGCTATTTGGGAAATACACATGGCTTGAAAAAAGGCTAGCGTCCCCGTCGCGGTGCCGGGCGCCACACCTTCACTTACCTGCCTGCCAGAAAAAAATATCTTTTAGCTGAAAATTTTTTAAGGAAAGAGATTGATATGGCTTAAAAGTCAATGTGTGGTGGCAAATAGCCATATACATGTACCTTGTTTGGTTAAAAAAAACCTAGTGCTGTTAAAGCAAGTACTACTTATATTATGGTCATCATGAAGAAAAATAGACAGTATTCATTTGAATACATATTAGTATTATTGTGGATGCATTTCTACATAATAAATTGAAAAAAAAATAGCATATGGATGTTCTTTTCAGAACATGAACTCAATTGATGCGTCACTTCTGCAGTTGGTTGGTCTTTGTTTCAAAATACGCCAAGAAGACAAGTTATCGGAGGAGCACCTAAAACTTGTCGATTCTATAACGAGTCAAGTTCAGCAGGATGTGAAAGTCATTAGAGAACATCACCATGAAATAGAACTAAAGCTTTCTGCCACTAAAAAAGAAGAGGCCATCCTAAAAAGAAAATTACATGAGTCTGAAAGGGAAATACAAAAACTGAAAGAAAAAAATAGAAAACTTGAAAGTAATTCAGCAGATCTCAAGGAAAAGTGTCGAGAATTAGAAAGTGAACTTGATACAAGCTGGATTGAGGATGTTGACATTAGTGCTACCGGGGTTACAGAGGAGGTTGAGAGCAGTCAGGCTTTGAATTCAAAAGGAGTTGTTGATATTAATACTCCAGTAGTGACACAAATGGAAACTGCAAAAGACGATTCAAAGATGTAAAGACATGCATTTGATCGACTCTCGAGAAAAAATTGCAAAACTAAAAAAAAGGAGAAAACATGTCTATTCAAAGGGGGAAGTCTTGTACATAAACTTTAATCGAACTGAATAATGGATAGTGACAACAGTGCTCTGTTAGTGCAAGAAAAAAAAGTGATCACAGTTGATTTTGAGATGCCTGATAACTATACCTGTTTCTAATGACTTATTACTGTTACTTTATGATTTTGTACATTGCTCAATAATCTTTGGAGAAAAAAACTGACGAAGTTTGTACAGTAGAGTTATATTTGTTTTTGCAGATAATATCAAGTTTTGTAATTAATAACAACTCATCTATGTTAGTATCCATGATAATGACTGATTTACTTGTATCACAAATATGCAATGTCTTTTACAATGCAAACACCTTTTTCTTGCCAACTGATACTGTATTTGAACATTCATTGTCATGATAATAAAAAAAAATATGGCACCTTCAAGCCATGTGGGTTAATTACAAAGAAATTTTCGAAATTTAGATTTAACAAAAAATTGAACTGAAAAATCACTCTAAATTAAAAAAAAAACAATGATGACATAAATAGACGAAAACACATGGCTTGAAAATGGCTGGCGTCCTCGTCGCGGTGCTGGGCGTCACACCTTCACTAGAATGCCTTCAAAGAAATTAAATATATATTTATTAATCAAAACTTAGATTAAAGGTTGAAAATAGTCAATGTGTGGCGGCAGACAGCCATATACTTGTTATGTTGTATTGTTTGTATCTGTACACATATGAATATAGATTGTTAAATTAACAGGAGCTCTCTGTGAATTCACAAATCATGCAATTCTTTTTTACAAATTAAAAAAATATTCTGAATTAATTCTCTACATTCCAAATTTTAGGAAATTTATAAAGAGCTCCCAAGGAGGTATAAAAGTATGTACTAATATACCTCCTATCATAGACTGTGAAAATACAATAAAACTATCTTTTCAGGCCTAAATCAAGCTAATCACGGGCAATGAAAGTACAGTTATGGTCAAGCGAAAACGATCCCTTTCAAGTCGGAGAAAAAGAAATAAAGACAAAAGAAGAAAACGATTAAAGCGAGATGAAATAAGACCCTACTTGATATATAATCCAGTCAGTGAACCTTGGAGATTACAAACTGCACAAAAGTTTAAACTAAACAACATAAACTGTTCGTTTGAAAATGAGAAACCATGTACAGACTTAGGATATCCAGCATTGCTACACGAAACAAAACCTGATGGAAACTGTTTTTTTAGTGCCTTGTCATATATAATAACTGGTACAGAAAAATACCATTCTCAAGTCAGATCACATATTTGCAATCATCTCCTTTCGCATCAGGATGAATTAAGCAACGCTCTTCCAAACAAGTACTTTAGAAATGCAGAAGCATATTTATCAAATACATCAATGCGATGCGAAAGAATATGGGCGACTGAAACAGAAATATTCACTGCTGCTGATATGCTTAAAGTTGATATATATGTGTATTCCAAATATGGACCGCATTGGAAATGGATGAAACACAGTCCTTCACAATCCGATGTAACAGATGGAATATATCTTTACCATCGAAATTTGAATCACTATGATGTTGTTCTTAGTGTTCAAAAAGAAAATCCAACGGCCCTCAAGAAAAAAGAAATGTATGCTAAAAACAAGGAAGAGAATAGGAAGAAGAAAAAAATGAAATATTCTTCAGACCAAGGACTGCAACGGCGTAAAAAAGAAAGATTTAGGAAGAAATACAAAGAAGATAAAATGTTTCAACAGCGTAAAAATGCAGCTTCTAAAGAGAAATATAAAGAGGACAAACAGTTTCAACAGCGAAGAAAAGCAGCTTCGAAGCAGAAATACAAAAAGAACATTAAGTTTCAACAGCGGTTAAAAAGCAGCAAAGAGAACATTAAGTTTCGGTTAAAGGCAAGCAGAAATACAAAGAGAACATTAAGTTTCAACAGCGGTTAAAGGCAGCTTCGACGCAGAAATACAAAGAGAACATTAAGTTTCAACAGCGGTTAAAGGCAGCTTCGAAGCAGAAATACAAAGAGAACATTAAGTTTCAACAGCGGTTAAAGGCAGCTTTACAAAGAGAACCTAATTTTTCAAGAGCGTACAAAAGCAGCTTCTAAACAGAAATACAAAGAAAATGAAGAATTTCGGCAGCATGTTAAATCGGCATCTAAGAAAAAATACAGCGAAAATTTGAACTTCAAGAAATGTGTTCTTTACTACTCACTCAAGAAGTACAGATCTAATACCATCTTTAGGCAAAATGTAAAAGCGTCATCAATAAAACGGTATGCATCCAATTCTTTATTTCGCCATAAACTGAAAATGCTCCTGTTCCAACAATATCACAAGAATCCCGCAATTCCAATAAAGAAAAAAGAAGCCGTGAATCGAAGACGCAAAAATCTTCATGTTGCATTGCAAACATTCATTAAGAACATCAAGAAAATTCCATCATATCCGTGTACCGTGTGTGCAAGGACACTTTACAAATCTCAAGTAAAGATCTGCAACCGCTCCAAGTATTTAAAGGGCAAGTACTCAAGTAATGCTACAAGATGTCTAAGTGGGAAGTATACTTTCGAGTCGAAGGAATGGATCTGCCAAACATGTGACAGACATTTGTGTGCAGGTAACATGCCACCGCAAGCTCTCGAAAATGGATTACAGCTTACTATCGTGCCTGACGAGCTAAAAATGTTAAACCACCTCGAAAGACAACTTGTTGCTCTTCGAATTCCTTTCATGAAACTCCTCTCACTTCCAAAGGGTGGACAAAAAGGTGTCAAAGGACAAGTTGTAAACGTCCCGTCAAACATCAGCAGTATCACGACTTCTCTGCCTAGAACTATTAATGAGGCTCAGATGGTCAAAGTTAAACTTAAAAGGAAGCTGTCATACAAAGGACATTACCAGTATGAATGGGTTAGACCAGAAAAGGTAAAAGAAGCAATAGAGTTCCTGAAAAGAAATAACCCATGGTATTCAAATATAGCACTCAGTGACAGTTGGTTTGACCCAGAAACCGATTCAGATTTAGTTAAAGTAGACGAACAAGAAAATTCTTCGGATGAAGAAAATGAAAGTTCAGAACAGGAGAATTTGACAATGCACACACAACCAGTAGAAACGTGTTCTCAGCCTGTTGATATAGGACAAGAGTATCTAGACACAGAGAACAAAGTTTTTTGCATTGCGCCCGGTGAAAATCAAACACCGCAAAGTATCTTCCAGGAAAAAGGGGCGGATGCAATGGCTTTTCCAAACCTTTATCCAGATGGCAAATTCGGATACTTTGAAGATCGACCTATAAAACTGTCCCCTACAAAATACTTCAATGCCCGCTTATTTTGCGCCGACAAAAGATTCGCAAGAGATAATCAGTTTATCTTCTTTGCTCAATTCATGATTGAAATGTCAAACATTCGATCAAACATATCTATAGCCTTACGGAAAGGGAAAGGAAATACAAATGATGGAGGTAAAGTAACGGCGTCAATGCTTACTAATGCTAATGATTTACAGAAAATTCTTAAATCAGATGCTGGTTTTCGTTTCTTACAACCAGTACGCGGATCGCCTCCATATTGGCAAAGAACAATGAAAGATCTATACGCCATGATTCGGCAGTTAGGAATCCCGACATGGTTTATAACGTTTTCCGCTGGTGAAACTAGATGGGATGAAACAATCAATGCATTAAAAGACCCGGAAGACCCAAGATCACCTGGAGATATAGAATGGACAGAAAAATGCCACCTTATAAGGGAAAACCCTGTGATGTGTGCCCGATTATTTAATAACCGTGTGCAAAGACTTTTCACAGACTTAATTATGTCCCCTTCACAACCAGTCGGAGACGTAGTGGATTTCTTCTACCGAACAGAGTTTCAGCAGCGCGGCTCTCCACATATCCATTGTTTATTGTGGGTCAGGAATGCACCTAAATTAAACGAAAACACAGAGAAAGAAATCTGTACTTTTGTTGATAAATATGTATCATGTTCCATGCCAAATGAGAAAAGCGATCCTGAACTCCATGATATTGTTAATGCTGTACAGGTTCACAGTAAGACACACACAAAGTCATGCAAGAAGAACTCAACGACATGTCGATTTAATTTCCCTAGGCCTCCAATACGCAAAACGTTTCTTGTAAAAGTCACAGAGGAAGACAATGAAAACAAGGAGAGAGAAAAAAATCAAACCACTAACATGCCAACACTTCAGGAAATTGAACACCTATGTAAATCTGGTGCCGAGAGATCTCCAAAACAAATTGTTAAAGATATATGGAGAATAATCAACTCAACAGAATCTAACTTAACATTTGATGACATTCTACTTGCTTGTAATATTACTTACGCCAAATTCAAGGAAAGTCTGTCTGCAAATACGAAGAAAAACACGATATATTACAAAAGAAACGTAGAAGATGGTTGGGTTAACAATTACAATCCAACTTTACTGCGTGCATGGAATGCAAACATGGACATTCAATATGTTATGGACCCTTACTCATGTGTAGCTTATATACTATCATATATCAGCAAAGCAGAAGCCGAAGTCGGCGAACTTATAGGAAATGCACAAAAAGAAGCACGAGAGGGCAACAAGGATGCGGCTACTGCAATGAAACACATTGCTCAGGTTTACGTCCAAAACAGAGAAGTGTCTGCACAGGAAGCTGTTTTCAGAGTTTGCAGCATGCATTTGAAAGAATGCTCAAGAGAAGTTGTATTCATTCCCACAGGAAGCAATGCAATTAAGATGAGTCTTCCTTTGAACATACTGAAATCACGAAAAGGAAACAGTGAAAATATATGGATGTCCTCCATCATTGACAAATATTACGCTCGACCAATTGGACAACCATTTGATGAACAATGTTTGGCAGAGTTCTGCTCATATTACTCTCTCTATCCAGCCTCTAGACCTCCAACTTCTTCCAAAAAAGGTGCAC